TTAGAGAAGCAAAAATTACCGTGAAAATGAATACGACAACTAATTACATATCCTCTTTTCAGGTGTCTACAGCTTAAGCGCCTGGTTATGCCTTCTTAGAACAAAATTAAAGAGCGAACAATGTGCAGGGCTATTCATATATGGAAAGATCTTGAGTCACTAACAATCCAAGTAAAAATAATCCTGCGCGTGTCATCAAGGAAATTGGCACGAGTTGCAAAAAAAATTCCGCACTCAAAATTATGGGGCCCTGTGATATGTTGTTTGCATCTGCACTGGCTTCATTTCTTCCAAACTTAGAAGTATTGAGTTTGAGGTGCACGGTGTTAACTAAACCTTCTTTGGCTATTATCTTGGAGGAGTTGAAAAAGTTGAAAGTGGTCAACATCTCTCATTGCATAATTACTGAAGACCATCCACTCAAACCGATGAGAATCCTAACTGAGCTTGATGAATCAATTCTTGAAAAGGCGTCTAGGTTAGACAAATTCCTAACATGTATGAGTGACTCATGCGTTATGTGTCAGCGCACTCTGAATGATTAGGGGTTTATGAGGTGGTATAAGTATGAAGAAGACCTCTGGAAAGTGGATGAGGTGAAATCTCTTGCAATTTGACGACTTTAAGAAGATATTGCTTCATGAGCTAAGCGTCTGGAGTAAATGTGTAAACTTTTGTAGCTTTCATGTCTTTGTGTGTTGTAGTACACATCAGATTCTTTATCTAGTTTCATATGCATTGCCGAGCATAGTAAGATTATACTATGTTTTGCTTTGCTAAGCTTTTGGGAGACATGTTTATTTCTCATTGAAAAGGTGAGATATTTGGTTAATCTTTGGGAGAAATTAGTAAAAGTTGTTTTTCGCAACGGAAAAAAATAGATTTTCTTCCTAAGTATTTATTTGGAAATACCTTTGAATATATATACTTATACTTAAAAATAGTTTTTAAAAAATGGTGAAGCACTAAGTTGCTTAAAAGGTTTTTAAAATTAATTTATCGAACATATTCTTTTTCACTAAAAGTATTTTCTTTTTGAAAGAAAAAGAAACACTTGAAAAAAAATTCTTATTTAGTCGACTTTATAAAATTCAACTAAACATGTTATTATTCTTAATGGAAGTTTTGTGAGTTTCATACCTAAACTCCTTATAGAACATTTTCTTCAAAAGTATTTTCAAAGGGCTTTCGAGTGGCAATATAGGTGGATTTTTTTGAACTATCCTGATTAAGTGAAAATGCAAAATATACTAAATTATAACCATGTTTGAATATTATAAATAAAAAAATTGAGATAAGGTAATCTTCATCTCTTTTGGATGATGGACTTTAAGCAAACTCATTTGCTTTATAGCGTTAGAACAAATTAGAGATCAATAAATCATAAAATCGAACTTAAATTGAGGTAATGCAAACTATAAACTGTTTAGAAACTTTAATATATAAAAAGGTAAAAATTGAACATGAGTTGGAGTGTACTATTTTTTTTTACTTTGAGTTGTATATAAATCAATCATTTGTAAATATATCATCACTGGGTAATTTACCCGCACTTTGCGCGGTATAAATAATAATTGTATTGAACTTGCCAAAAATTTTTTTTCCTAATATCTATACATTAAAAATAATGGAAAAATAGGTTCTTAAAAAAATGTTAGTAATATTCCAACATTAATTTAATCATTTGTCATTATCACATAACTCAAGAACCTCTAATGAATGAATTATTCAAGAAATAATTCATTTGTTCTTTAATCAACATTAAAAGGAAAATAAAGAAGAAAATAAGAATATATGTACAAAGGCATTTCGTGATAAAAAGAAACATTAAAGTTGTTAAATTATTCAACTGTGAAATATGTCTTAGGAGAAGATTCAAAAATTTGTTAACATATTCAAAAAAAAATTACGCTTGGACATGAAAGCAACTATAACGTTTGAACTTGCATAATGAATTTCTTCAATTGATAAGTGAGAATTTTCATATTTATGTAAAAATAGATAATATGTAAGTTTATATGTATAGTACTTTTAAGTTATAGAATTTAATATAGAGTTAATGAATTCTTGAAACTGAGTACAACAATTATTTATGCACAATGAATATACGTACTATATGTATATATCTTCAATATAACCAGACAAAATAACTTTGCACAAACATAAACAATAGAGTTTAAAACATGTACTCAAAAATAACAATTAATATCATAAGCATAAGTTAATGAGTGTAAAAAAATAAACCAGGATATGTAAAAATAAAATGAAATAGAAAGGAGTAAATCGAGTCCACTGAATGCACAATGTCCCCTTAAGAAAATTATTCACATCCAATACCAGAGGTTTAAAGAATTACATCCTCACAGGACGGAACAATTTTATTCACCAACTTATTGATACAAAAACAGTAGTCTCAGTAAATCACTCAACGAGAACAAAATACACGAATATTTAATTTTGCAAAAATGGAAGAAGATCATAATTTTTGTTATTTTAAAATGAGAAGAAATCTCTCTATTTATAGACAACAACAGTAGCGTGAACAAATGTTTATTGTGCCTTATCAGAAAGGTTAAAACTATTGTAAAAGTTGCAACCCTTCGGAAAGTTCACAACCTTTCATAAAAGTCACAACTTTTCATTAAAGTCAGAATTTTTTATTAAAGTCACAATTTTTAATAAAAGTCAAAACTTTTCATATAAAAGTCGCAACTCTTCATAAAAGTCACTACTTTTGATAAAATTCACAATTTTTCATAAAAGTCACATCTTTTTATGAAAATGGGAGGCTAGATTTGAAAATAATAAAATTTAAAACGAAATTCTTGCTTGTGGTGATGCCACGTAGGCGGTCCTAGAGTTCTCTTTTATACAAATATATGATATGATCGTAGGCCGCTAAGAATGACTTTTAGTTAGATTGTTTAGGAATTCTTATTTCTTATGCCCCATCTTTTTCTCTATATGGCCGGCAGGTGCGCTCCCCATTTCAAGGGACAAACATTTGTGTGCGAGCCGCGTGTATGTGTGTTTGTATGCGTGCGTGTGCTCATGCGCGTGCGTATGTATTGTTGAAAGAATGTAATAATAATAGTTAAGTTAAATTATCTTTTAAATTATATAGGATAACTATATGTTGATGTGTGCTTGTTGAAAAGATACAATAATAATTAAGTAATTAATAAATGATAAGATAGAGAACTTGAGGAAATAATCTATGTATTTATAGTTTATGACTTCTTTTCTTGGAGTATGTCCGACAGTTGAACTCATGTAATTCTAATAGATGTTTATGGTCTTATTGTGGAATTTGGGCTAGATATTATTATTAAAATGATTTTTTTCTTTTCATTAATGGATAACGATTGTAGTTGGATTATTATTTTGTTTTAATAAGTATTGATGAGTTGCACTTATTTATATTTGTGCTTAAATGATTTGTAAGTGTATGGATATTTGGTTTGCCCGGCAAGTAGTGTTAGCGCGTGCTAGTCTCGTCTAGGGAGTAATTTGGTATGTGACAAATAGTATACTATTGTTGTTCTTGTTTTTGATATATTTATCTCTCTTTATTATATTTTTAATAATCTATCTTATTATCTTGTTTATTATGTTTTGATTATTGCATTATTATGTTATTTTTGCTTCCACCTGGTAGACTTTGCATCTTTACTTGTTACTTGCTATATTTTCTTCATTATCTCATTATTTGATCCTGAATTCATAGTACTTGAGTTGAAGGTCTTTCGAAAAATAACCTCTATACCTCCATAAATTAGTGATAAGATCTGCATACACTTTATTCTCTCTACACCTTATTTGTGAAATTTCACTAAATATGTTATTATTATAAATTATTGATAGTCACACAACATCACCAAAGAGAATCACAAAATAAGTGTTGTAGGCTTGTTGCCTATGAATTCATAAAAGATATGAAATGACAATCAAGCTCTCAAGGGACTATTTAATTGGTTAGAGTAATGCAAGTGTTAATAATATATAAACTAATTGTGAAAAATTTGACAAATTATTTTATACATGGATGAATTATGCAGAAGTTAGTTATTCATGTATTATTTTTTCACATATTAATTATTTTATATTTCATCTTCTATCTTACTTAAAATTATATCAATTTTCTCATAACTTATATATGTATTGGTTATGTCGATTCTAAATTGCAAATCAAATAAAGTATTAGTTTTATACATAGTCCTAACCAACTACCAATTATTATACTCTCTCTGTCCCAATTTATATGATTTAGTTTTACTTGACACAAAATTTAAAAAACAGAGAAACACTTTTCAAATTTTTGGACTAAAATAAATTATAGATACAACATAACTATAATTTTTCTAGATTGTTACTTCCTTTGTCCCATTTTATACAAGTTAGTTTGAAATGACACAACGTTCAAGAAAGAAAAGAAAAACTTTGAAACTTTTGATCTAACACAAGTGAAAAATGTTTGTGTGACTATAAATTATTTCATCAAGGATGAAATGAGTATTTTAAAGTTAAATTGTTAGTAAATATAGAAACATGTTATTCTTTTTTGAATCGACTTAAAACAAAAATAAATTACAACTGAGACGAAAAGAGTAATAATTATAAAAACATGTATCATTTTTATTTAAATAGACTAATAAAAATAAATTGAGACATAGAATTTTATTACGTATACGAATTATAATACGTATATAATATTTCTCGTAACCAACTATCCAACGTCCCCTTCCTGCCTAAACAAGCATGACCATAAAACAAACACCTCAAGCACCTAACTGTTGCCTATACAAGCATGACCATAAAACAAACAACTCAAACACCTAACTGTCGCCTATTATATCACAACAAGAAATTAAATGAAGATACTAAAAATTGAATATTTATATGAAGAAGGCAAGAAGTGGGACCCAAATGTTCAATTTTTTTTAATTTTCCAAGAATACCCTTGCACAAAAGCAGTAAAAAGGAAATAGAGAACAAGATTCCAGCACAACCACATTCTAATGGCTACTTCACTTCAAAATTTGGTACCACCATTTTCTTGCCGGCGTACGACCTATACATCTCCTTGTACACCTATCGCCATTTTCCGAGGAGGGAGAAGAAGAAATGCAAGAAAGATGTTGAGGGTCTGTAGAGCTATGGTTGAGAAGACAGTACAAGGGGCTTCTTCTACTTTTGCTAAGGAAATGGAAAGGCTTTCAGCTAAAGAGTCTCTGCTTCTTGCAGTTAGTGCTTATCCCTTTTTACTCCAATTTATTTGTTTTTTCCTATTTAAGTTTAAGTAACTCATTAAAATTGTGGAAAATTTGAGGGGAGTGTTAAGAGTGTCTCGCATTAGTTATGTGAATGATTTGTTGTCTTCTAATATGTTTTTGGGAAAGGCATTTCTCACCTCGCCAGCTAAATTTTTGTGTTGAAGGTCTATATTATTAACAATAGTTATGTTTATGTTTGTGTTGCTTGTTTTAATTTAAGAGTAGTTTGTAAATCCAACTTGTACTAGGTAATCATAGGTATCTATTGGGATACTCATGGACATTCTCTCTGCCACTTGTAGATTATTGTCATGTCTACTTCTTATTTAATGGCCCATTCTATTTAATAGACTTAAATGATAGAATTCACAGCAGTACATAAACAAAAGGCAATATGACCCTTAACTTGGCGATAGCGGACAATTATGAACGTCTATTATGGATGTGTACAAGTAAGCACTTAAACTTGTATAAAATTGAATAAATAGACACAATCGTCCTACATGACAATTTTGTGTCCTGTATGGCGTCCTATGTGTATTGTCCGCTGGAGCCAAGTTTAGGGTCAACTCTATGTATTATGCCTAAACAAAATAACTAAAAGAAAAATCAAGAACGGTGGTGTAGACTGACAGCAGAGATCTATTCTCTTTGTTTCATTTTACTTGACACTTTCTTTTTTAGTATGTTAAAAAGAATGACATCTTTCTATTTTTATGGAGAATTGTCATTCATGACAAGTATGGTCAAGATGACCAGTGATGTCCAAAGGTGGTTGTGAGCCCCCATGGTGTAGGAGTTTGGAAAGCAATCAGATCCCTTTGGTCTTTGATGGCTGGAAAAATTAGTTTAAGAGTGGGCAATGGAAGGAAAATTGTTCTTTTGGGGTGATAATTGACTGGGGCATGGACCTCTAAGGGAAGTCTTCCCTGAATTCTTTAGCATTGCCACTATGCCGAACATTAATTTGGAATCAGCAAAAAGAGTACAGGGATGGAATTTACTGTTAGAAGGCTACTGCATGATTGGGAGCTGGAAAGAGTTGTTGAATTTTTCCAGACCTTGAAATCATTCTAAGGGTTCAAAGATATTGAAGACTCACTTATATGGAAGCCTACCGGTATATGACCTAATTCTGTTAACTTAGCTTATAGCATTCTGATTAGGCACAGACAGTCAACTAATTAGAGTCCATGGAGATCCATTTGGAAGATGAAGGCTCCTTTTTAGGTGGTATGCTTTTCTTGGTTAGTAGCAACAAATGCTTGCCTCACACAGGATAAAGTATAAACTTCAAAAAAGGGGATTCCAACTGTGTTCTAGATGCTTTTTGTGCGGAGCTGCTAGGGAAAATAATAGTAACCTATTCATTCATTGTCCTGTTACTGGACAATTAAGACAACTATTCTTGAACATGTTAGGAATCAGATGATCAGTGCCAACAAGTGTTAATCTACTGAGATGTTGGAACCAGAATGATGGGGCAGTTAGTCAGAAAAATTGGTGGAAACTTGTCCCTGCTTGCGTATGGTTAGATCATTTAGAAGGAGCGGAACTATAGAGCTTTTGAAAGAAAAATACAATTTTGTGGCGATAATCAAGATGAACTGTATACTTTTGTTTTGTTTTTGGTGTAAAGAAATCTATGCTAAGGAGGCTGAATTACTAGTTGATATGATAGAATCCTTGTGAAGCAGTAGCCTAAGCTAAGCTTGGTTGGGATCTTGTTGTGTCTTTTGCACTGTCATCGTGCAACTTATATATATATATATATATATATATAGTTGTTGCCAGTTTCAAAGAACACACACATTTAACTTTAAACTTCTCATTTACCCTAAATAACATGATTTTGTAGGTACATAAATGTCATGACATGCTTAAGGCCACATGTTTGATAACTCTTTTTTCTTTTATAAATTTCATGTACAGTTTCACATAAAATAAGGTGGGTATTATATGTACTCTTGTCTCTTTACTTTTTTTCCTGCAATTCATAATTTTCCTTTGTTTAAATTCTTTCATTGTTTCTCTATGATTGACTCATCAAAGAATTGGCCTTGGGTAAAGTGAACGTTCTAATATATCCCATTTCCATTTGAGAAAAGGCTCAGGGAATGGTGGAAAGAGTGTCACAGGAGATACAAAGTTGTCAGGTCTGCAGGAGGGTTAACTTGGTGGAACCGAGAGGTTTAGAGAACAATATTATTGATAATATTGCAATGGTTATTTTCATGAAATTGCACTTCTGTTCTTTCTTTCTGTCCCTTAAGCACTAAAAGAAATTAATTACACTGTTATAGTTCAAAGATGCTGGTGGATTTGAAGCATTGGTCACTGGGAAGACAACAGATGTACAATGCATTGATGTGAATGAGAGGATTATTAGTCTCGAGAAGCTCAATCCGACGCCTCGTCCCTCAACGTAAGGTGTTAAATCTTACCAATAAACTTAATTTTCAAGATTCTTGACAAGGTACTCATTGGTGGTTTCATTTCCCAGGTCTCCCAATTTGGAAGGACGATGGAATTTTGAGTGGTTTGGAGCTGGTAGCCCAGTTCTTCTTCTTGCCAAAATATTTTTTGGGTAACTTCTATTTTTTGGGATAACATTCACTTCTATTTTTCCTATTCCAACTTAAACTCATTAGTGTATGAACTACGTATACGAAATGAAGTACTTGTGCAAATAATGAATCAATTCTACATGAAGTAGTTTATTCTTTTTCTGCAACCTGCATTGTGCTACTAATAAATAATTGTCATACTAGAGATCAAATGGAGACCATGTCTTCAAGGCTAACAATTTAGAGAAGAAAGTTTGAACCATGGGTATGATGGTTGCCTTCCACTATCTAAAGTGCATGCTAAATGTTTAAGCATCTAATCATTCCCTTCCATACCTTTGCACCAGTGGCAAATTAAGTGATAGTTGAGTGGGGAAATTGCACCTACTTAAATTTGATAAAATTACGCTATATACCAAAGCTTTTGCTTAGAATTTCAAATCATTCCATTTTGAACCTGATAATTTCCTAGAAAAAGTGAGAAATTGGTAGAATATTTTTATCTGAGGCTGAAATTTGATAAAATTACGCTATATGCCAGAACTTTTGCTTAGAACTTTGACTCTTTTCCATCTTTGAACCTGATAATTTCCTAGAAGAAGTCATATTGGTAGGATAGTTTTATCTGAGGTGTCTTGCATAAGGGAAAAAGTAAAATGCTAAAAGAAATGCTTTTAGCTTCTTTCATCCAACTAAAGGGCCTTCCGTTTATCTTTTCATTTTCTCTCTTTCATTTCTGATGACACAATATTTGAATTACTTTATTTTCTTACGTGCACTTGCTTTTAAGCTTAGAAGTCACAGCTAGCCCACAAAGTTGCTTGTCAGGGCCACTTTATAAAATCAACAAAATTGCTTGTCAGCTATCTTCTGGCTATATAAAATAAAAATAAAATTTATGATTTGTTTTGTGTGAATGTACTATGTATAGTTAGAAAGTTAGCCAAGATGGGTTGATATATTCATATTACTTGTATTAGTGGGAAGGTGTGTACCCAGTGAAACAGTTGAGATACGTGCAAGCTTGTTCAGATACTATGGTTATTCTCCCAAAGAATAAGAAACCCCACAAAGTGATGAGATGAATCACTCTTTTAGTCCACCAAACTAGATAAAGGTAAAGAAATAATCTTTGCTCTCACTGGGAAAAAATTCTGATTGGGAAGAAAAGGTATGGGAATAAGAAAAGAGGTCCAACCTTTTTAAGGAATGCAACCGATTTTATGACATTGAATTTTGAAATTTGGCGAAAGACCAAACTAAACCTCCATTCATGGAGGCCAATTGTTTCCCTTCAGTTAGGTCTTTACTATTTAAGTACATTATTGTCTACTAGGTATTTGCATGATTTTTCTTTTGAAGGAAAGACAACATTTACCATAATTGGTTGAAATTTCCTTCCCAAAAATTGAAAGTAAAGATCTTTCATATTTAGTTAATCTTTTTCACGGAGAAAATAATTTTGGACCTCTATAGATTGTGGTTATTTCCTTCTCACTTGGTAGCATCCACAATGCAACTATTAAAGGGGGGGGGGGGGGGTTACAGAGTTTTGGGGAGAATTTGTGAAATACAAGTTTCTATTTTGAAACTAGTAATGTTGTATTCCTCAACATTAAGGACATGTTGGAAACCTTCGAAAAAGAGAAAACAGTAATTAAAAGTATTCCCTACAAAAGTCCTAACAAATCTACAAGCTGCTTTGATCCTCTATACCTTTCCATTTGACTTTCTGAATGAAATTGTACCTATCTCCAGAGTATATACTATCCCTCTCACTCCAAGTAGTCCACTTGATGCAATGTAGAATTATCCTCCACCATTTCTTCTGGCTCTTGTTACCTCCTCTTCTGATCCAACAACTCAAAAATCTACAACATGCGTAGGAATGGTCCACTTTGTCTTTGTGAGACTGAAGAAGATTGTCCATCGTCCATCTCTTTTGTATATGTGCAGTGCAAAATAGGTCTCTGTCTGCTTCTGCATAGTATGTATCTGGATACAATATTTAACCCCCTTCTCTTCAAAACTTCATGTTGTCAAGCAATATCTCCTAGCTACCAACCATGTAAAGCATTTTACCTTCGTTGATGCTAGGTTTTTCCAAATATTCCTCCATACTTTTTGACGGTCTCTAACTTGCTGAACATTTCTTTTTTATAAGCCCTGTTTACTGTTAATACCCCCTCCTAACTGTGTTCCACCTCAAAAATGTCAGAGTCAGAAGTGGTACCTTTGAAATCCTCTATCCCTTTTAGAAAATTGGCACTCTATCCACCTTCCAGTCATTCAATAACTTGCTAAAGGATAAGTTCCATCCTTGTGGAGTCCAACATTTATTCATAGGAGCCTCAAGCGTTGTTCTGGAGAGCAAGAAGCGGAAAAAAGCGAAGAGCGCTTGCTTCACTGAAGCTGAAGCAAAGCACACATTTTTTTCTACTAAAGTGTTGTTCAGAACAAAAACAAAAAATAGTAATATGCATATATAAATAACCAAGAACTCAATAGATATAACATATTAAGCAAATCTTTCAGTTCTTAAATTAGAAAGCTTATAAAAGATGGTCAATAATCCTCATAATCATAACATATTAAGCAACTCGTAATCATAACATATTAAGCAAATGCAACATCAAAACCAAATAAGTAAATAGACAGAGCATAACAGGGGAAAGAAAACCCTAGAAGTAGTTCCTGAAAGCCTGAAAGAGAGTCCAGAGAAGACGAAGAAAAGAGATTAAGAGAGGAAGAACTTATCTTTTTGAGTCGCAGCAACAGATGTTGAAATGTTTGAGTCACAGAAGAAGAAGAAGAAGAGCGAAATGTTTAAGTCACAGCAGGCAAGTGTGTTATACAGAAGGAAAAAAAACCTAACAGCACTTAAGCACGCTTTTTGTCATCTTTGCTTTAAGCGCGCTTCAAGCTTCGCCTACTGAAGCACTCATTTTTTTAGCAGCGCCTCGCTTCAGACCATATAAGCGCAGTGCTTGCACCTCGCCTCGTTTCGCGCTTTAAGCGCGCTTTTTGTCGCTTTTCACAACACCCTAAGGATTATTTAAGGAGAAGTTCTATCTTTGTGGAGTCCAACATTAATTCATAGTAGCCTCGGGATTATTGCACAAGACAAACAGATCAGGAAAGTATTCCTTTAGAGGAGTCTGTTCATTCCAAGCATCCCTCCAAAATTTATTGTTCTATCATCTCCCACTTTAACTAACATGTTCACTTCTAACTTGGGCCACAAAGCTCTGATAGTTCTCCATACCCCAACACTTCTTATCGCTGCACCAAGGGCTGGACTCACCAAATTTGCATTTAACAACATCCTTCCATAAGGCTTGCCCTTGTCTTTTGTATCTCCATAGCCACTTCAACAGTTCCTGATGCCCAAAGCCCCCAAATCTTTGCTAAGTTTAACCAAACTAGTATTGGGAACGTACGATGCACGTTTGTCCCCTACAACTGCAAAAAATTTGGACATCGAGTGAAAGATTTATGGTGCTTTCAAAATAGAAACAATTCAATCACAATAAGTTAACTAAGATACATAGAGCCTTACAGCACGCCTCACGGGAAACCAAAGCTTGAAAACAATTTCAGGAATTAAATATGGAGAAACAAAAACTGACCTGAAAAATGCCTCTCCTACTTTCTAGGTGAGAGAGTACCCTCTGTTCGGTAGGTCACCACCAACCTCATCCTTCTCCTCAGCTATCTCCGTCTGTGATAGCTTTCTCCTTCCCTTACAGCAGTTCCCTTCCACAGACATGGAGGAAAATAGGATTTATTTCCACACCGGTTTCAAGTCATTCAATAATATCAGATGGATATCTGGGGAGGAAGCCTAGTTTGATTGGGTGGAGCTTAGTATAAACTTGATGAGAAGAATAAATCTCAGCAAAAAAATGATGGAGTGGATTTGTTTTCTCCTGGAAGAAGCCTCAAACGACAATAAGAATCTTATGAGGAGATTGAGAATGAACTATGAAGGACCAAATGGCAGAGTATTTTAGTACAAGGAAGTTTAATGCCCGCGGAAGACTACTCTTGGAGGATTGAGGCCATGAGCGTATAATTGGATTTATAAAAGTTGATTGGGTAGGATCACCCTTTTATAGATTTTCTATATCCGGATATTGTGTTTAGGAGGTCATTTGGTGGCTTAGAAGAGTAAGTAACAAAGTGTGGTTGATCTAGTGCAAAAGCAGAATACTGAGCAATAGTCATAGCAAGTTGTGAGCTAATTTAGATTAAACAGTTGCTGAGAGAACAATGATAATTGAATGAAAGAAAAACCACTGGTAGGGATATGAATGGAGTCTCGCTCAGTTAAGAGAGTTGTAGGATTCGTAAAATAGGAAAAGAGCATCTCAAAGTATGGGGCAAATGGAACTTGTGTGTGATAGCCAAATGTCCCTTCATATCACATCAAATCTGGTATTTCATCGGAGGACGAAGCACATTGAGATTGACTCTCACTTTGTCAAAGAAAGATAATCTCGGAAGATACTGTTACAAAATTTGTAAAGTTGAGTGATTAGCTTGCAAATGTCTTCACCAAGTCCCTCACCGGTCCTCGTATTAGTTACTGTTGGATATGTAGCAAGAATTGATGGGAAATAGAGGAAAGAAGAGGAATTTGAAGAGGAAAGAAGAGGAATTTGAAAAGTTTAGAACTTGAAAGGTTGGGAACTTGAAAAGTCCTCTAATGCTTTAATGAAAAAGGCAATAGTCCCTCATCGGTAATGGAAATGAAAATAGGAGAGTTTAAATAAATAAACACTCCTATTAATTGTTAAAAGGGTTGTAAAAAGGGACCCCCCTCGCGCCGTCGTCGTCGCTCGCTTCGGCGTCGGCTACGGCTTTGGCAAATGATCGAGAGATAATTTTTTGGACAAATTTATTTTAATTATTTATTTAATTAATTTAATGGCCAAAAATTATTTTCAATTAATTAGTTGATAACAGAAGTTAACCGAAATGTTTTCAACTTTTTAGTTAACCCGACCCAACTCGGATCGCGCACGTGACCCGTTTTAAATTCCGTTATATTTAAAAATTTCCGTCATGACTGTTCTGAAAGGTTGCAACTTTCAGGAACAATCAATACCATTTGAAAGTTTGCAACCTTTCATTAATGGTCGTGTCAATTCTGAAAGGGTTGCAACCTTTCAGAATATATTCTTCTTGCCTATAAATACCATTCAGTCTTCAGAATATTTTCCTCCGAATTTTCTAGATCTTCCTTCTTCTTAAAAACACATATTTCTTCGTGTACTTTCCTGCTGTGGATTGATTCGCTGACAGTAGAGTTTTTGGTATCTATACTCTACTGATTAAGATCATTTTACCTTGGGAGGTTATATTCCAAATCAAACCTCGGATACTAGAGGGGAATAATTTCCTTAAGGGGACACTGTGAATTCAGTGGACTTGATTTTCTTCCTATATTATTAAAAAAAGTATTCCAGATTCTGGTAAGTTTTAAAGATTCAATTTTTTTTTTTACCAATAAATTTCTGTTCACCTTTTTTACTGGTTCTAAAAATCTCAGTTACTTAGTGTTTCTGACTGATTTATTACAATCAGTAATTTCTGATTTTCATAACACAGATTGGCAACAGTTACATCTGTAAGAAGGTCGGTACATGTAACAAGGTCCGTACATATGACTTGTATGCACTAACTTGAGGGGGAGTGTCAAAATTGGAATATGAACAAGAATATAAATAGTATATGGAACTCTAATTGGATAAGGATTGCAATGTAGTGTCTATAAATAGGACATAGTGCAATAATGTAGAGACATAATTCAATAGTATATTTCTATTATATTTCTCATAGACACCTTTACTTGAGAGGCCTGAGCATGCATGCTTGTTCACTTTTAGTCAATATGCTAATTTCAGTTGATATCTTCTTAACATTGAGGTGAATGATCGTAGTTTTGCTTTGAGTTTAGTTTGATGAATGTCAGCTTATAATATTTCTACCGGGAACATGCTTTTACAGGAGAATTCCTCCAACATTGGCAAATTTATCAAAATTGGATGTGTTGATCAAGGATGGATGTGGGACTGCTACCGCACAAGTCAAAATACTAAATTCGGTAATTTATCTTTGTCAGGAAATTTGATATGTACATCCCATGCTCTAATATTCAGAAAATGATCTTCCTCTTCTAGTTATAGAATTGGAAATAAAACAATACTATTGTTTATGTTTTCTACAAACAAACGTCTTTGGGTTCGCAAACTAGTCATGCAGGGCAGTAACATAGGGATCGTTATGCGGTGAGTCATAGTGTAGTGATTTACTCACAGTGAGTAATAATCTATGGACTGTTCTACAATGAATAATATACAAGGATTGTCTACTTCAACAGCAGTTTTATGATCCCTAGATACTTTTTATCCAGGTATTGGTAATACAGTATTGTCATTCTACGATCTCTCCTCCATGAGATTATGTATAGTTTTCTGCATAAATTTGCCGCATTTGTATTTTTTTTTGATAACCAAATTTTTCGTTTTTGTATTTAAAAGTGCAACCTGAATTCTGCCTTAGTTATGTAGAGTTTGTACTTTGTACCGGAAACTACACATTATATTAGTTATTATGCAGAGATTATATTAATAACAGAGTTATGTGTTGCAAATCACTGTAATATTAGTTACGAGAAATTGAGATTATTACTCTTAGTTGGTCAATCAAATGCCCATGATGTGATATAACTGGTCAGCACCATATATCTTGCTTTCTTCCTCCTTTAATGCCTCACATCTGCTTGATAATTCGTACGCCAAGAGACACATTGATGGCAAGTGATGTTTTGGTCATGTTACCTAGAAAAATAGGTAGGACGAGATAACAAGCGCTAGATGTATAGCTCTATACTTTGACATTATTACAATACCAACTTATTGAAACATACGAAAACAGCTTAATAACAGAAACTTAGTAATTGAGGCCATTAACTTGCTGACAAGGTGGTAACAGTTTTACATTTACGTGTCACTTTTTAAAATCCTTATTTTGTATGACTATGTCTGTTTGGTATCTTGAATATCCTTTTGCAGCAGAAAGTAAAGCTAAGCGGAATAAAGCTGGAAGTGAATGATATAGGAAAATCTTAGCTTTACTGACTAGGGGATTAGGTACACAAACAAGATACATGCTTATTCTATCTCCAAATTTCCAGAAGTCTCTGTTCTTCAGTGTTTAGTTCACCTGTTCTCAGACTTTATTTAAGTTAAGAATTTTATGAATTTTGTGTAGCTAAAGATTTCCACAGCTAATGAGGTATCAAGAAGCTGCAATAGCAGTATTGCAATTCAAAACACAACAACAACAACAACATACCTAGTGAAATCCCACAAATTGAGGTTGTAGAGGGTAAAGTGTATGTAGACCTTATCCATACCTCGTGGCGGTAGAGATACTATTCCCGGGAGACCCTCGATTCAAGTGAAGCAGAATAAAGTAGTAATGAAAAGGAGAAACAACATTGAAGAAAACATGTCAACTAATAGGAAAGGAGTGCAGAGCATAAACATTAACAAAATAGTGCAATCACCTAAACATAATAAACAACAGATTGTAACAGATAACAAAAGCAAGAAACTACATGTATAAGAGTATTTATTGTGACAAACATGGTGCGCCAGAGTCCAGACTACTACCAAACCTAATCTCGTCAAAAATCAAGAAAACCCTCGACTACCTACTAACCTTCTACCCTAATCCATGACCTCCATACCTGCCTATCTAAGGTCGTGTCTTTAGTAAGCTAAAGTTGTAGCATGTCCTGTATAATCGCAATCTACCTAATACTTCTTCAGCCTACCTCTACCTCTCCTCATATCCACTATATCCAACCTCTCGCACCTTCCTTCACTAGGGCATCGACACATCTCTTCTTCAAATGTCCAAACCATCTTGGTCTTCCTTCCTCATCTTGTCCACCACAGAGGTCACTCTCACCTCTTCCCAGATACCCTCATTCTTAATCTTATCACTCCTAGTATGCCCACACTTAAATGTTATTTTAGTTACAAGCTCAAATTCTAGACTTGCATACAGTTCCCAAAAGAAAAGAAAAGAAATTCAACATCAATAGTACCGGATATTATCATATCATATTATATTATAAGTGGAAGCTCCAAGATGTAAAGTTGAATTACCATTTTATCCCTATACTAAATAAAAATGTTATATTCATATTTGATTATTTTGTTTTTGAAAAATATTGAGCAGTAAACGTTTTTTACTATTAATGAATTGAGAATATTTGAACAGTTATGAAAATTAAATAATCTAAACGTTAAAGAAAATGAAGAGACAAATGTTAGTTAATGAGAGCAAATAGGTAGAGATTTAAGTTGCACATTAACTAAAATATAGAAGCAGTTACCTTTACATTGCTAGAATCTTAAAAGTTGTAAATTTCAATACAATGAATCTCATAGTTAATTTATTAATATATGTTATTTTCAATGATAAATACATGAAAAGAAGCTAAAGAGACTAATTAATCATTTAAAGTGAAAGTATTATATAAAGCCAAGAATAGTTTTCATTTTCCTCAAGTTCCCTCTCCATTTTTATGGGCTCTAAAGAAGAGTATATCATTTCTCTGAGCAGTATTTTCTCAATCAATGTCAAAGTTAAAGGCTATTAAAATACGCTATGAGAGTTGTTGGATTTGTGCAAGAATTTCAGCTATGAATGTTGTTGGATTCATCAAAGAAATTTCTTAGTGAAGAATGCACTTATGACACTTATTATTTAATTTCCTTGTTAGGGCTTAATATATGCAACACACAACATTAATTTTACGGTAAAAGATTTCTATATGTTACTGATTTTACACATTTCATTAACGTAGCACATAAAATTTCACTTATTCAATTAAATATTGTAGTTGTATAGTTTTTTGGATTTTGGATCTTAGAAACAAAAACACCAGGATGCTTATCAATTTTAAGAACATGTAATTTGTATTTTCTATTTTATAACACATAATATAACTAAAAAATATTGCTAATCTACAATCTTCACAAAAATATTTTTTATGTATATGGCCACATGCACGTGGCGCGTACCCAGAAACTAGTTAACATAAGGAGGAGAAGATGAACAAAGTGTTAGGTCTTGATAAGCTATAAATAAAAAGCTTATGATGGTGTTAACAATGCTAGCTTGATCCACCTCGACTATTTCACCAGGAACCTACTACCTCCAACCAGCAGGTATCTGGTACTTCCTGCTCACCAAGGTTTAGACAAATAGAAAGAAAGCACCTCACTATTAAAAACTCAAAATGAGAAGTGTTTAAATAAGTTAGGGTCAACATTACTTAATATTCTTATTTTGATGAGGCAAAAGTGAATTGGGGCCTGTTCATGTGTTGATTCTTGATTTGCACTCAGTTTGAAACTTAAGAGGCTCATGCTCAGTTGCCTCATTATCACTTAGGCCTTGACCCCTGCTTCTTCAGGCTGGTAATTAGCTCTAGGCTGGTCAATATCAGTTGAGTTGTATTCTTCATATTGAGTCTTACACAAGGACTCAAGGTGTTGCATCTTTCAATTTATCGGTTGAGGTTTTTGTGAAATGTTAATGATATTATTAGTATATCTGATCATATGTATCTGAAGAGGTGAAATACTTTTTTGTGAAATGCAGATTGAGAATAAATTTATCATCTCCACCAAGTATAGTGTTGAAGGGCCTCTTCGTATGAAAGAAGAGTATGTTGAAGGGGAATTTGAATCTCCAAAAGTCGATGAGGAAGCTGTACCTGAACAACTAAGAGGTGCTTTTGGCCAGGCATTTAATACTCTGCAACAACTTCCTGTCCCCATTAGAGATGCTGTGTCCAGTGGCATGAAAGTTTCTCTAAGTAAGATTTAAGTATTTTCAATATACTCTATGCATATATGTATCTATGGTGTACAAGTGTTGTTGAAGTATTGCGATCTGGGGAGGGTAGAGTCTACGGAGACCATGCCCCTACCTCAAAGGTAGAGAGATTATTTTCGATAGACCCTCCGCTCAATAAAAGAATGACAGATAGCAATGGAAGTACAAGAACCAACAGATTGTAACAAAAATAATAGATAATAAAAGAATAATACTAAAAAAAATAATATGACAGAAAAAGTACAAAAGTAAAATATCTCAATAACCTAAATTATCGTTAAGAAATTCAAATTTAAATCAAGTAGACTACTGCTGCAACTAACCTGTTCATTGTTCAAATTGGCAGTAACAGAAGTAATTTTTAACACACTTTAAATGTCTGTCAATTCTGTTTGAAGCCTCTCAATCATGTCAAATCTTCAAATGTTTAAATCTAGCGTTGGTAAAAGCAGTTCGAAGTTAATTTTCTGCCTGATCTGTCCTTTAAGCAAGATTTGTTTTTGGTTATTTTGATTCTTTGATCTTATTCAAGCTTATATTCTCATTTGCATCAGCATCTGCCTTTTGAAAAATTCGTTTGTACTTCAGCACATTAATGTTGCTTGAACTGCCATATTACGTATATTTTGGTTACTAATGCTTTTTTCAAAGGCTTCTTATTTTTAGTTCCTAGGACATATCCTAATCTTTTAAAAAACAAAGAATAAACTAAAGTAGATAAGAAAGATAGAAGCTTGAAGAAAATAACTTTTGTAGATAAATGATATTGTTACTGTTTAGGATTTATTTATATTGCTTCTCACTCTGGGCTGTTACAATATCAGGCGGGACCTTTCAGAGACTTATTCTGATTTCCTACCTTGATGACGAGATCCTGGTGAGTCCTCTCGCTGCATTCTTTTTCTTTGTAGCACCATTACTTGATTTTTTTTCATACACCGTTTGTATATAGCACCACAATATCTTCACACAAGTTCTGGAAATTGTTTTAAGTAACCTTTTAGCTTTCACTAGATTCATATTGGGATTAACTTTTATAACAGAGATTTTTTGAACTTCATATATCTAGACACTATTATAACATCAAGGAAAATTGGTTTTGATTCTAATTATGCAGAAGTTGTAAGTTCTTATCTATAGAGCTGAGTTGTTGTGCCTTCGAATGCTCGTAAAGAACTATGAATCAAGCATTGCTGCTATTACAAGATCAAAAGTTAGTTCGACAATTGAACCTCAATTTTTTTAACATACTCTACTAATCTGCTGGTTGGGTGCAGATCATAAGGAATACTGCAGGAGAACCTGAGGTTCTAACAAGGTTGGAAGCAGGACCTGATCCGCAAAATATAACCGAATATGAGAGTTAAGTGACTGTAGGCACATTTTGCATGAAAAAAAAAACAACTTTGTTTTTACTATTAGTTCATATTTCTATGTAACATAAGATAAATAATACATTGGCAATATCTCTCATTGTGTAATCCCACATCGATGAGCAACGAACATGAGCTGACCCCATTATTGGTAAAAACTTGCCGTGGTTTTGTGAATGAGTCCTTGAGGCTAAAGAAGTGGTTGTCTGAGTTGGTATTAAACATATCATATCCATCGTCTATATGAAGATCTAAGGAACAAACATCAAATTTTTATTATTTACCTCATCCACCCCTACCCCCTCCTCCCCCCACTCAAAAAAAAATTAATTTTGTTTTTAAAAATATTTTCTATTTTGAATTTTTATTTTTTCATCTCTTCCCCAAGGCTTAAAAAAATTAATTTTGTTTTTAAGAAATATTTTCAATTTCAAAAATTATTTTCTATTCTACTAAAAATAAAAAATATTTAAAAATAAAATATTTTTTATTTATAAATCAAACACTAACTTGTTTTTTAGGAAAACATTTTCTTTCATACCAATCACACCCTAAAGGAGTCTGGATGATATTAAGATTCCGACACATAATACTTATTACATTCCATTAATTTTAAAAAAACATATTTAATGGGCTAAGATGTGAATAATCAAACTCAAACCTAAGGCTTAATTTCTAGATTGTAGTTGCAGTTTAGGAGTGTGGTTGTGAATTAAGAAAAGGAGCGGGGGGGGGGGGAGGAAGTTCAAGGTGTCTTGGATGCAGAATAAAGTTGCAATTATTTATAAAAGTTGTAACAAATTCATTGATCACTTTGCCAAGTACAAAGCAAATTGTTTCATTATAACTAATTGGAAATAAGGTTTGATACATTTCTCAATTTTGAAATTTAGAGTTTGATATGCTCCTCCTTATAAAAATGATTCACATTGTCATATGATCCAACTACCCAGCCATGTGGCCACCTACTCTAACATCTAGATAGGTGAACTCTTATCACCCAACTTGAAAAAACTATCGAGGAACAAAATCAAAACATTCTCTAGCTCTTTAAATGTCATCATTCAAAGTACACTCTAGACGTGACATGACAAAGAGAATCTCGACAAACCCTAATCAAGTCACTTGACATAATATGACCTAATAAAATACAAATAAAGAGATATAATTGATATACGTCTTAAATCATAAGTTGACATAAGCGCTATCAACATAGTATATAAGAAATACATGAAATACTGCTAAGTCTGACATGAGCCTTTCTAACATCATAGGAGTGGTTGTGACGTAACCAATACACCACATACAAGTCATAAAAAAAATGACCATAAAATCAATCAGTAATTAATGTCTGTGACTTTTCCCTCAAATCATGAGGACTCACCAATCAAATAATCCAAATTGAGCAATCTCGATCTAAGCACGTCCGGGAGGAGGAGATTGAACCCTATAATATCAGACAATATGGGCTCAAACATGCAGTAGTACTATGAATGTACTAAGTACGGAGAAATGCATAAGATGTAGGCATGATGATGTTAGAAACTTTAAACATGAGATGACCAAATAAAACGTAAGAAAGCCTTTAAAGAGAAATCTTGATTCATGAACACTTAGAAAATCGTTTGAAAAGCTTTCATAAAATCTTTGAAGAAAACATATTTCATTTGTGGGATACTTAACGTTAATCGAATATAATACCATATGAGTTATACTATGGAATTAAGTATGACCCTCATACCGAAAATGGGAGTCTCGAAATGGAATTTCGTTAGTTCCATCAATTCCGAAAGGTGGAAATTAATCTACGAGAGCCATTGGTTTTAGGTTTGGGGTTGTTTTGAGAATTTGAGCCTTTGAGTTGAAAGCTTGGGTGATTTTAAACTAATCAAAGAGTTGACTTTGATCATCATTTGAAGTTCAAATGCTCAAATTGGATATCCAATGATTCCATTAGATTTGGGGGATGATTTTAGGCTTAGTTAAAGTCTTGGTTGATTTTTCGGAAGTTCCAAGGGTAGTTTGGTCTTTCTGAGCATTAAGTTTGTTTATTGCGACTTTCACAAATTTTAGATAAAGAGACCTCAGATTCATATTTTGATGTTTCAATTAAGTTGAGAACATCAAGTTTAGTTCGATAGCATGTTTAGTTTGTGTGCATAGGATTCCTAATAAATCTTGAGGGTCCATTTAAAGATCTCCTTTGTGTAGTAATGTTGTAAAATCATCATTATGAGAAACGTGATGATAGCGTCTCGCCCACGGGGCCAAAACTGTTTTATACCTGAATATCCCAACTAAGTGGATCTAGTAAAGCTCTGGTCGAAAGCAATATGGAGTCATCTAAAAAGTACGATCATTTACCCATGTTGGCTACATGAGTTATGAGGAATGTGAGTTGTCTGAATGCATCTCAATATATATCATACATGCCGAAGGTACATCTGAGACCTTCCTTCCAAGCAACTATGACATAGATAGATAGATGCAAGTGTACTAAGGAAACTAGCAAGACTTGCAATTCGGATGAAAGGAATATCATTCTAATGAAAGCCTGAGTCTTCCCTTATCAATGTTTGAGATGCCTGGTTGTGCCAATTTTCTTAGTTGACAATATGGCTTTTATGCCTGGCGGCAACTCGGATCTTATGTTCTTTAGATGCCTAGCTTCTCTGCCAGTAATCTGGTTGTAAAAGGAAGAGGTTAGTTCACAACTCTGAAAGTCGAAGATGAATATATATATATATATATATATATATATATATATATATATATATTCAATTTTTGAGGTAATTGCTCAAAATATCCTCTTAAAAGAAGTAAATGCTCTGAAATATCGCTGAACTCATTCATTCATTTAAATATCAAAATTTTTCGTTTCTCAATATAAAAAGTGATATATTTTGGAATACTTAGTTCTCTTATATTCTTAGTCAAGTCATATTTAAAATTCTTTCTCAGAACTCATCTTTTCTTTCTCAGAAATCAGTTTAAGACAAAAATGTTTACTTAAAAGGATTCTTAATACTAAATCGATAATAACTCAAACAATAGGGTCATGCTGAAAAAAAGACATGGAAAATCAACTCAAGAATCTCAATGCAAGATATAACAACTCAATAATCAAGAAATAGGATTCAGATGTTAACAATGAAACTCATCTCAAGGATGTAACCCAAGATTATTCTTTATTAATAGGAAGTAGATGTAGGGCATGAGGATGAATTCAGTCCATCACTATGAGTAGCCTTACATACATAGAAGAACAAATGTCACGTCTTGAGGCTACCCCCATTAGACTTAACACGTGATCTAGGATTACAAGTGGCCCTAAGCTAACCCTGAGCTTGACATAAGCATATAATGAAATATAACTAAGAAAGCGAAAGTATAACTATAAAGTGAGTCACAACTAAAAGAAAATCAACTGAGAATATAACTGAATGTCAAAGGGAAAACAACCCAAAACAACTGAATATTGACCCTATGTATGAAAGCCTCTACTACTGATGAGTTGCAGGGACAAGTCCCCAACTAATTCTAAATACTGAAAGAATGATAATAAACTAACTAGACCAAAGAATAAAAAGCGTCCTGAAACTATGAGGACTCACCACTGATATTGTTGAGTATGAGCTAGAAGTTGAACTAAGCGTGATCTAGATCCTGAGAGCGTGAACCTGTATCATACAATGATGAAGCACAAAACATACATGATATAGATGCAAAACTGAAAAATATACTGAGCAATAATATAATGAACATGGAAATAGGTTGTACTAAAGTATAACTTAAAACTGAGCATGACCAAGTGCTAATCATGACGACAACATGTTGTTCTGAATATTGATGTAAAGGTTGATAACATGGTCAATGCAATAAGAGTATGAGCGTGGGAACTACTATTAACCGACATAAACCCTATGAGATAATCGTTGAGTCCGATGTATACACCCCATCGAGAGGACCCAATACACCTTGCCGTGGGTATAAAGGCATACTTGTTGTGTGATCACTAAAATCGGTGCCCAACAGAGGGGACTTCTGAACCCACGTTGGCTTTCAACTCTAGGGCTATGAGGGTACATCGAACCCTAGTCCATTACTCGTTGCTAAGTCTACTCCAAACAAAATATATATTGCTAAAATGCAACTGAAATACTAAGTAGCTCAATATACTTACATGATATCTGAAAATACAACATAAATATACTGAAATATATGGCATTCAAATTCTAAAACATGATTTTCTTACTATTTTGCATAGAAAGTATAATTCACGAGTATTGATAATTAATACAGGCTAGAGTTCTAAATTCTATACATGGAACTATGCAAATTTTCCAAAGAAACATGTTATTTAGAATCGTGGAACTATAACAGTGAAAGTCACAATGAATCTCCAAGATTTTAGAAACCCTAGGTATGAACGATTTTTGAAAAATTAAAGAATTAACTAAATTCTAGAGACCTTATGGGTGGAAGAAAACCATAAACCCGGTGACGGAAACCGAAAACCATAACAATCCCCTACATTTAAGAAAATGTAGACAAGAGTATGTGTTCGTATAAAATATGTACCAAGTATGACAGTCATGTGCAATATCTTGGAAAAAAAATTTGAGGCAAGAGTTGAACCATCCTTCATCGTAAGTAAATTTTTATGATGGAATTTTAATTTTTCTTAAGTGTTAAGGTTGTGGACACCCAATTTTGACTCTCCACAATATAAATTAATCACCAAGCTTCTTAATTCTCAACATTAGAATAATTAGTTCTTTAAAATTCAAAATAGTTTGTTAAGTTTATCTTAAATAGTTTTGTCACTTGTTTTTATATATATATATATATATATATATATATATATATATATATAATGTATATGTATAACATGATTATATATAATTAGTATGTTTTACGAATATTCGAAAATCATCTAAAATATTGGTTATTTTTTTATTAGTTACACTTTATATTTGCGAATTAATTAGTTTGATTATGCTTTGTTAAGATTAAGAGGCTCGTTAATTAATAAATATTCATATTATTTCAGTTTTAGTCTAATTTGCAAGTTAAATTCGTTTTAGCTAATTTAATATTTCATTTAGTTTGTCTTGTCAAGACATTTATACAAACTCCCTTTAATTCCCAGTCCCACTCTATTTGTTCTAATTTTCAGC